TCTTTGAGAGTGTATATACATAGCGTCTTCGTAAATATACTGCGTGCGCTGCGATTGCGGTGATGACTAGAATCTCTTTGATGCGCTTTTGATGGTGATTGGTGACGCGATTCGGGTGATTCGGGTGAGGCGATTGATGTTGTCGGGACGCGAGGTGGTGGTTCGACTCGGCTCGGGCGGATTGGCAGTGATTTACGATGATTCAATATGACGGGATCAGACAAGGAACGAAAGGGAAGGAAAAGGTCGAGGGTGGGGAGATGGAAAACCGAAATGACAAGATGGCGTTGGCGTGAGAAGATGGAGATGCGATGGATTGAAGATGAAGTTGGCAGGTTGAAAGTCGAGACGACGTTGAAAGTGGAGTAAAATTGCGTCGGTGATTGGATTTCGCACATAGATAACCCTAACCCCGTGCGTCCCGTTTGTCGTCTCGACGCCCTCGTCTTACAAAACATAAAACACCAAGCTGTTACGAAGATTTACGATGAAGGTTTTTCTTGGGCAGGGAGACAAACAATCACCAGTCCGAGCAACAACGAGAAAAAAAAAGGAAAAAAAAAAAAAGGAAACGAAACCAAAAAGCTCACCGTCCAGCCCCCACTTACTACGTGTGAGGGCGTCGCGGCTACGAAACCCGGTCAGGGGTTTGCTTTTGGCGTGGTTCGAACTTGGGGGGTTCCATGGCGAATCATGGCCGGGGTTTGAGACCCGGAAGTGTCGAGTGGGAGGCCCATGACCGCTTGACTAGAGCGACTGGGGATCTTGGCGATGGAAGGGGGGGTGTAAACAACACCTATAGAGTGGGGTGGGGCTGGGCAGGTGGGTGGCCTTAGGTTGTTGGGCATTGGGGGGAAATGAAGAAGGTTTCTGTCCTTGGGATGGGGTTCGTGGGGTGGCATTTCTTCCGAGGAAAATCTTGTGGAGGAAAAAAACCAACGGGATAGTTGCGCTCTGCGTCCTCCGTCCGGGCCTGGTCAACATGGGACGGCTACGGTCCTACACTCTTGCAAGGTTCTTTTTTCAATGGGTATGAAACTACTGTTGAAGACGTGCAAGATTGACATCCATCACAGAACTATGGCGAGGCGCTAGGTTCGCCATCCTGAGCGGCCAGGTGCCGCGAATGACCCGACTTGCCCCAGCCAGCTCGGGGCTGAGCTCTCTGAGCTCTCTGACTGGGACCTTCGAATCCGATCAAGGGCTGGGGACCGGGGGGGGCAGGAACGGTCGTGTTGGAGAGGCAGGATACCTGAGCTTCATCTCAGACAACTCGATCGTCGTCATCGTCTCGATGGATAGCAAGGCCAAGCTCCCACGTCGTGTGTTTGTCAGTCAATGCACACCTTGTGAGGCTCTAACCCAAGACCTCCCATCTCCCAACGCCACCTGTTCAGACTTTACGTACTTGGGTACACTACGGATCTTTTACCTCTTATTTGACCTATTCAAGCGGCGACCGTGGCCATCTCTACCTGCCGGTTGCCATCAGACATGCCTATCGGGACAAGCCTGGGTGATTGCATACCAGCTTCCTCTGGTCTCCGATGCCCTCTGGCTCCCAAGGACTAGTTCTAAACAGCATCTCTGTCCACATGAGCCGATGCCAATTGGGGGAGTAATAAGTGAGAAAGGGGTTGTGCAAAGTGAACTTTGAAGAAGCAGAATATTTCTCAAATTATCTGTTGCCTCGACGACAAAAGCGATGGGCTCGTCATCAACAGCGGTGTTGAGATAAGATATCACCAGGCCGGTACTCTGTTTGTACATTCCTCGCTGACACTACCATACAACCAGACCACTCAAGTCCAAACGCACAACTGTGAGCCACGCTTGGCCAGAGCTGATGCTCGGCCTCAACCCCACAGCAACCCTTGCCAGTCCTCTTCGCGAGACGGTAAAGAGCGCTGACGCGAATCCGCTTCGTCCGGACGCCGGTCTTCGACGTGCCACAATTCCAGTGTCCGGAGTCGAGGCTGGTTGACGTTGACGGGTGGGCGTGGCTCCGGATCTATCATTGAGTGGGGATATCTTCCTTCCAAGACGGAACTCGGTGTTCAGTTTCCCAGCCGCCAAAGCCCCAGGATTCCAAGACCGAGAGAGATGCCGTTGATGGCCAACCGCCTGCTCTTCATGCCCCACATGGACTTGCTGGCGAGGATGCGAGCCTGTTGCTTTTGGAGTTGAGAATGGCCCGAGAAGTAGCTGTATGCTCCGAGGCCAAGGAAAGCGCCGCCGCCTGGTACCCCATGTTAGCCGCCATACTGGAGTTGGACGAGACGATCGAGGGCAGAGGACTCACCGACGAGCTTGCAGGGAAAGCAGTCGTCGACTTCTTCCTTGAGCAGAGTCCTGTAGTCCTCTGGTTTGTCCAGGGTCTGGAGGGAAGGGATCCCGTCTTTGGCCATGGTGGGCGAGAATCTGGGTCGATTGAACTTCAACTGACCTTGACAAGAGGTCAGTGTCAATTGAGGGCAGTGAGTGTGGTGAGACGCGTTGAGAGGTCTTGGCGCGCGACTTTGACTTTATGCCCCTTCTCACCGCCCACCTTATCGACGATAAGCTTCAGCGCTCCCCCCCTGATTGCGTCAGTGCTTCCAGCGGCGGAGCTCCCCGTCCTGGCAACCAAACACCCCCAAACTCGCGACAGAGTCAACAAACACCACCATGAACGGCGTCATAGAGGCCCTCCATATTTTTGACGACCACAAGTAAGCCAGGCGAGCTCTCTGAATATTTATCCCTGGACACAGCTAATTCTTCAAGTTCCGTTGTCCTCTCGCACACATACACCGGGCGCCCGCTGTCGGCGACACACTTGCTGCCCCTCTTCCTCGACCACGCCGCCCCCCGACCGAACCTCCTCTACCTCCCCAACACCAACCCGCCCACCCTCGTCTTCAGCCTCGCCCATGCGAACCTCCTCCTCCTCGTAACCACATCCTCCGAGGTCGAGCCGCTCCTCGTGCTCGAATTCCTCCACCGCATCGTCGACTCGTTCGAAGACTTCCTCGGCGCCCCCCTCCACGCCCAAAAGATCGAGGCCAACTACGATGTCGCCGCCCAGCTCCTGACCGAGATGTGCGATGCTGGCAACATCAACACAACAGAGCCCAATGCCCTGCGCGACCTCGTCGAGGTCGAGGGCTTCATGGGGAAGCTGCTCGGGAATCTGAGCTTGCCAAACCTGCCCACGTAGGACCCTCCCTCAGCTACGGAAAACAGATGCTGACTGCTTCCAGAAAAAGCGGCTTCGGCGCCAACTCTTCGGGGGGCCCCTCCCTCCTCGCCCAGTCCACACCCGCCCTCCCATGGCGACGAGCCAACGTCCGCCACACCTCCAACGAGCTCTACGCCGATGTCATCGAGACCCTATCCGTCACCCTGGCACCCTCGGGCCGCCCACTAGCCGCCTTCGCCAACGGCTCCATCGCCTTCACCTCCAAGGTATCCGGCGTCCCCGACATCGTCGTCACCCTCACCGGCCCCTCGGGCAAGCACAACCTCAACACCCTCATCGAGCTCCCCGTCTTCCACCCCTGCGTCCGCCTCGCCAAGTGGAAAGAACAGCCCGGCGTCCTCAGCTTCATCCCCCCCGACGGTCGCTTCATCCTCGCCGGCTACGAGGTCGACCTCCTCCCCTTCAGCGACGCCAAGGCCAGCCGCGCCGCCGGGAACCTCAAGCTCCCGCTCGCCCTCGAGATCAAGACGGGCCTCGGCCCTGCCGGCTCCGACTTTGAAGTCCGCCTCAACATCAACCGCGTCTTCGGCGGCGCGGGCGGCGGGTCCGGACGGGGAAGCACCGCCGGGCGCGGGCTCGGCGGCCCGAACCCGGGGACCCCGGCCTCCCCCGCGCTGCAGGACCTGGTGGTGTCGGTGCCGCTGCCCGCCGACGTGCGCAACCTGTCGGAGATTCGGCCGAGCAAGGGCGACGCCAACTACAACCCCGGCGACCGGTTCCTGGAGTGGAGCATCCCCAACAAGGAGCTCGCGTCGGGGGGGTCGTACTTTGGGCTGCGGTGTACTGTGGTTGGGCAGATGACGGAGGAGGACGTCGAGTCGGACCCGACGGGGTTTGGGTTCAATACCACGGGCAGGGACTACGCGTACGATGAGAACTATCAGAGCAGCAATGTGTCGCCCAAGGGAGGTGGGAAGGAGGCGGTGGCGGCGGCGGACGAGAGGAGGGCGGCGCAGTTTAAGACGCTGATGCCGAGCTCGGCGTCGGTGAGCTTTGCGGTCAAGGGGTGGTTGGCGAGCGGGTTGAAGGTGGAGAGTATTCTGATTGATCCGCGGAAGAGTAGGGGGTTGGGGGATACGGTGAAGCCGTTTAAGGGGGTCAAGTATCTCACTGTTAGTAAGAAGGGGGTGGAGATTAGATGTTAGGGTGGTGGCTTTCAGTTTGCCAGGAATGGGAAGCTGTTACGGCTGTACTTTCACCGTCCCCTCGCCCTCTCTCGTGGTGTCTTCGCCGGTGCATATACACAGCCGTGTCGTCCGGCCGTTCAGTCTGGTCTGACCGAGCCAGAGACCCGGCCAACACACCGAGGTCCCTCCTGGCACTCCAAGCCAATCCATCCACCAAACAGACATCATCTCAGACATCTCGACGAACGGCTCGGTCACCTCCCGGGCCTCATCCCCAGCTCTCCCAGGGCCGGGCAGTTCTAGCACAGTTGATCGAATGCTTTTTCCGGGTTTGCATTTTTCTGTATGCAACGCTCATTCAGGAAAATCGTCTGAAGTCTTCAACATCAACATCAACAACACCGAATCCGCCCATCTCTTCACACCAGCCCTTGTTATGCAACTCCGACGGACTGGCAAATGGCATGAAAAGAAGTACTGGACAGTCAATCGCTTTTCACGCCCCTCCACGACATGACTCGTCTCGACAACCCCTCGCTCGCCAACCCAAGATGCATTCCACACCGCGTGGATCGCACATGCAGATACATCAGGCACATTTCCCAGCATGCACTCCACTCACCACCAAACAAGGACCGCTAGCTCAGTGGTAGAGCAACCGGCTGCAGCGTTCCATCCCTTCTGGAGTGGAGTAAGTGGTTCCGGTAGGTCTCGTGTTCAACTCACGAGCGGTCCTGTGCCTTTTTTGCATCTCTCTTCCACCGAGTCCATCACTCCCCTCCCCTTCCAATGTTGCGACGTCGAAAGACAAATCTTTTTGCCAGACAGATGACAGACAGGCAGACAGGGAACACCCCGTCATCGCACATGTCGCTCCGTCGACATTGACGGAACCCGCAGCATGCGGCACTCCATCCACAAACCGAAATATCCAACGCCAAAGTCATCATCCATCAAGGACCGCTAGCTCAGTGGTAGAGCAACCGGCTGCAGCGTTCCAACCCGATCTTTCGGACTGGAGCAGTGGTTCCGGTAGGTCTCGTGTTCAACTCACGAGCGGTCCTGTTCTTTTTGCCTCGCTCTGACGCTACATACGTCCGAATGACGGCCCTTCTTCCTGCATTTTGCTCCAACCATCGCCGCCGACTGACACCGACACCGGCGAAGCCAGTCCAGCAACAAAAAAAGAAACCCCCTCACCCCTCCGTCATGGAAGGGAGGAGCAAAACGAAATGCTCATACCAGGGATCGAACCTGGGACCTGTCGCGTTCCACTTCAACTTCCTGTGAAGGTTGCTGAGAAGTGTGAGGCGAACGTCATACCACTAGACCACACGAGCTGGTTGCTGTTGTTGATGGAGATGCATGCCGGTAGAGGGTCCCATAAGGGGGTTTGTGGCTGGGTGGTGGACATGTCCACCGGGTTTGTGTCAAGGCTCCGCCAATGTCCACATTGTCTCCGCCTCCTGTGTCGTGCTCTCCCCTGCCCCGGTGGACGGGCAACTGTCTCGTGGGGGGGATAGTGACTCCAGCCTGGCCTCCCCTTCGCGCCAATCTTCATCTTGGAAGAGGAGGCCAACACGCCTCCGACTGAAATTGGATCATGGCCGCCTCTGTTGGCCGTCGTCTCGTCTTCGTCGTCATGATGACGGTGATCCAGGAATAGTACAGTGACGAGTCCTAAGCGCGTATGGGGATTAGAAGGGGTGTTCAATGTGACGACGACGGTCATGTGGGAGCCAGCAGGATAGGAGATGAACTCGAAGTTCTTGCGCAAGTGGTCGTGGCGTATGCTGGAAGGAAGGGATGGGGCCCGTTGGAAGGGCCCTTTGGCAACAACCGCCAGGTGTTTTTGAGGAGGCGTCAAGATGAATGGGTGTCGAGTCAAGATGAATGGGCGTCGAGATCATCTCGATGGAGCGGAGAATGGTTTTCGGGTGTCTTGCCATGGCCCATCTGACAGCGTCGTGGAAGGGATGCCGAGGCAGGGGAAAGGGGGAATATCTCGATTTGCGATCCTGTTCAGTCGGACGTTGAGGTGAAGATCAGGGATGTTTACATTCATCTCCCCAGGTTGAACCAACGCTCGTCAAGAGCCTCATATGCACCCAGTCTATTTGCGGATCTGGGGGCAGACTCTACACCCCACAGTGTGGAAGCGTTTCTCCTGACAACCACCTCAAGTCTAGAAAGCACGTCGAACACTTCTCTCCGAGCCACAACCGCCCCTATTTTGCCTAGACGTCAAGAAAACCCACGGGCCATGGCAGATCTGCAACTCCGATCGCGAGATGCAGGCTGCTCGTTCTATGAATAGATCACTCTGGTCTCGGCAGCGTGTCCCGCGGCCGTCAAGATTGCGCATCTTCAACGAGGGATGTGACTCCCCCGCGGCCTGCAGAGAAGAACTCGTCTCGAAGCCAATGGCAGCGCCCAGAGTGTGAGAACCGACGACTGCATTCCCCTCGACAGGCGCTGCTGGTAGGTACCCTTGGGTCCGAGGGGGCCACGACGTTGGAGGTGGGCCAGGCCATATGCAGGTACAATCTGGGGATCGCCTGGCATGGGGGTGAGGTATCGGTACTTGGGTGTGTCTTGAGCCCTACAGAGGTACCGGGACATGGCGAGCACGAGGCATGGGGTATTGCATCTAGAGATCTCGGTCCCCGGTTCTGATAGGGGTCTTTGGCGCAGACGCCCAGGGTAAGCGCAAGGGCGGCAAGGTACCAAGGGGTGGGGAGGGGGGAGGGGTGGTAGACATGGCGGCATCGCGCCTCGCAAGGGCTAGATCGGAAGGAGGCCCCAGGTGAGAGGCAACGGCGTGTATATCCTCACGGTGAAGACGTGTGTTGGCCGCAGCCGCTGGAATCGAGCCGCCAGCGCCAATCTCATCCGCCGGCGCTTCCGTCGAGCGAGCCCATCGCGAATCGCGGCCCCCGGTCCGAACAGGGGGTGTGGCACGGGTTCGTCCTCGGTGAAGCGGGATGATATCACCGTACGCGTCCCGGCAGTGTGGAAAGCTGCCGGGTTTCGAAACAAGGCTTCATGACAGCCTTATAAATAGCAATGGTGCGGCGGCAAGGGGGACGTCGGCCTCTCGGGGGATTTTGTCCAATGCTGGCCTTGGTTTTTAGCAGTCGGCAGCCAATGACGGGAGAGGAATAACATCTCCATGTGGAGGTAAGCGCCACGAGGCGTTTGAAGATGCAGAGCCTCCATGACCTGCATCAGTCCGGCGCCAAGGGCCGGTTGCGCAATCGTCCATCTCCCGTCGAGGCGGGCAGACGGGGGGTACGGAGCCGTTCAGGCCAATGGGTCGGCCTGCCGTTCCGTCGCGGCTCCGGAGGACAGCTATTTTAAGCTGCTGGGTACGGCGTTTCGCCGGACGACGAGATGAACTTATGAGTAGCAAGTCGCCCGCGTTTAGGAGGTCGATAACAACTTTGCGGGTTCATCGTTTCTTCCTGCTGGCATGCAGACAGTCCTCTGTGTGATGCGGGTTCCCGGCAGGGTCGGCGGCCTGATGAGCGGGCAGGTTGACGCGGAGGTCATCGGTGATCCTGAAATAGCCCACAAGACGTCAACGGTGGAACCTGGAACCTGGAACCCTTCTAGAAGCAGGCCTGTGGCCCTCACCTCGGCGTGCCCAAGCACTGAGCAGAGAGCATGAACACCACCTTGAGCGCCTGGCCGTGGTCGTCTTTAGCGCTGAGCACCCCGAAGCGCGGCGCCTGCAGGTGTGTTGGGCGCCAATGAGCGGCTATCTCTGATTCGCTCTGGCTCGTTCTCGGCCGCGTGTCGGGGGCATGGGCATAATGCGGTGGTAAATCCAGCGATGGGGATACCGTGTTGCCGTCACTGAGATGCGATGAGATGAAGCGGAATTGGAGGTGATTCGGACAAAAAATCTCTTCCTCTTTCCATCCATGGACCATGGGAAGGAGCAGAGGTCAACATCCGTAGGGCAGGCGCGAAGCGACGCCATTTTCCCCACCAATTTCGGCAGCCGGCAGCACCAGCCCGGGCCCCAGACTCCAGCTGGTGCCTGCCAAGCCCGAGGTTGGACGTCGATTTTGCAACCTCATCATTCCGTTCCACCTTCCATCATCTTTCCATCTGTGCAACTCAGCCGCCACGTTTCCGAAGAAAAGTCTTTTGGCGTCAGTTCGCGTCTTTGTCATCCGTCCATCAAACGACATCAACACGGAGACACGGTGCCTCCAGTATTACCTTGCCACTGAAGAAGACGTACGTCCGGATCTTCCCATCTTCAAAATGCCATCGCCACTTTGGACGCCAACAGCCAACGCCGCCAACCTCCCGCGGGTACCGACCTGTTTTTACCGCAGACCAAACCAGTAGACGCTCGCTATCCAGATCTGGACAGCAGCCAAGGAGTTTGCTCCCGTCGTCGAATCTTGGGCGGAAAGCCTCCGCAAATGGTTCTGGCCATTTTTGGCAACTCTCAGCTTGCACGCCCACGTCGTGGTGCATTGTTACGACTCCAGACCAGGATATCCAACTGACCAGCCGCACGTTTGATTTGCTGATACACCATCGCGCCCCAGGGACTGCGTAACCACAAGACCCCTTCTTTGGAACCCGTGCTTGCAACATACCGACCTACACCGCCTCGGACGGCTCGGGCACCGACAGCTTGCAACCCACCCGGCCCATCGCGAGATCCAGCCCTCGACAAGATGCTGGCACCGTCAGTCAGCACGAGAACAATAAACAAGCATCCAAGTCCGCGTCGAGGCTGGGGCTGGGATGACTCGTAAGACGGCCGCCTCCGCTAGCCTCGCGGAGCATCAGGTCCCGGTCTGCACCGATCAGGGCCATGTTGTCGGAGGCACTCCCGGCCAACACCGGCTTACACGTGTGCCACTCTCCACAGGCCAGCCGACAATCCTCATGATGACCCGGTCCCAATCTCGCCGCGTCCAACCGGCCGCCATTATCATGAACATGGTTTGGATTCGCACACGGTGATGGGAGCCGTTTGGCGCAGCAGCAAATCGCCATGCTAACCGCGCTTCAGGATCCGACCACGGGATGGAACACGCCGTGATGGGGTGCATGCCGTCCTGCATCTCATCGTGTTTCTAAGAATGGAATCACCGGATCGACCTCGTCGGCCTGTTGGACCCTCCCGTTCGGTCGTTATCTTGATACGGCCACGGGATATATTCTCGACGTCGTCCTCTGCTCCCATAGGCCGTCGCCCTCCATTTTCTGCCCAATGAGACGGCCCAGCCGGGACGACTCCCCTTTTCCACCACCGCAACCTCAGGCAATGGGATGGCGGTAACCACACCTCCACCGTCCTGCGCTACACTGGTCGCAGGTTCGTTGCGCACGAGGAGGGGCATGGACCGCTCGCCGACAGCAGACGGCGTGTGGCTACCACAAGCGCTCCGCATCCCCCATCGAGGAGGAGCCAGCAGGATCGAGGACAATGTGACAACCGCCGCATCTCGTCGCGACAACTGACGGCGATATATTAAAGACTCAAGCATAAAGATTGCTACCAGATTGCGGGTATTTGTTGCTAAATTTATCCCCTGGTCGGCAATCCTGGCTCGGCCGCCGCATGGCCGTCCGGGGGGGCCGTCATTTGCTGGAGGGTGTGCCTTTCGACGACGATGCTTGTTGAGCCTGGGTTTCATCTTTGCCATTGCCAGTCGCACCTGTTCGGCGGTGGGTAGGTTGCGGGCTGTGCGGGTTGGGGCAACGGACGGGTTTGGCACCTTGCCGTCTTTGGACACAGCCCGCAACCCGCATCTGGGGAATTCAGCCGAGGCGTCGTTTTCTCCTGGTTGCTCATCAGCACCCCGGCTGGAGTCGCGGTGAACACATGGTCCCGCCTTATTCATTCTGTCAGCGTTGGATACGAGCCCCAGCTGGCGTCGCACGGGGACCCTCTCTGATGATGACGGGGCGACAACTGAATGAGGGGCAACGGCGCTCATGCGCCTGCTCCCCTCTGCCGCGACCGCCACAGACGACGTCCAAGCTCTGATAGACGCGGGTGCGCGAGAAAGAAGCAAGGTCGCAACGCCGCGCCAAATTGCATGACTTTGCTGACCCCCCGGTCTCGGGCGCTTGATTGGCCGTCGGGCCGTGAGACTATGGACTCGCTTCACGCTGCAACAATGGCTCTCACACCTCTTTTCATGTCGACTCTCTCTCATCACATCGCGCTCACTATCGGCAATGCTCTTGTGCCTCGAAAGGCTCGGTGGGGCTGGCGTGCGGGCAGCGTGGTTGGCAAACCAGAAGCACATGGCGGTCGGTTCCGGGTCGGCCACCTTGTCTGGGCACGCACGGGGCCGGGGCC